CGTTTAATGTGTTTTCATGCATTTCCTTGTGAATATACGTCATATTTTGTGCAAAAATTCCTCATTTTTTTATGATTGGCAGGCTGAAAGTCACTCGTGCGTTCGCATCCCTTGGGACGCTACTGTTGAACTTTGCCAAGTATTGAATCCAATGTTCTTTTGATATAGTATAGTGAGGGGAAATACAAAATTAACAGTGGTAACATAGCTTAAATGATGTTCACATTTACAAAAAATAAATAAATAAAAACAAAAAATTGAGAGGATTATAAATACAAGAAATACAATAACAATAAAGTCTGGTACTGTAAGGGTGGAAGAAATGGCTTATTTAGTAGTGCAAAGAAGGTTAGTTAGTTCATGCCTGACACTATTTTCATCACATAAAGTATGTGCCAAATATGCTATCGTGGAAGTTTTATAGTTTGACGTACGTGCATAAAGTTTTCTGAAAAGACTTCTTGTTTTACCTGAGGAGACACAAGGTTGGAGCTGCGGTGGATGCTCACAGTCTGACAAAATTCCTTTAGCAAATTTGTTACATGACATCAAGTGCCTATCAGTAACAATGCGAACGATTGTTAAAACTCAACATCTCCTCTTCTTAAAGTTTGTCAACTCTTGGATCTTACCTATTCTTCTCTACAGTTCACCCGAATTCTTTCCTTGATTGCTTAAAACAGACTATGCCATATTTCGTAGAACTCTGAAGACTGTCAATAGGGCGAGTGGTGGTATTCCATCGGGCCAGATCGTTGACATCGTCACTGATAGGCAACTAATTTCATGTAATAAATTCGCCAAAAGGGATTTTGTCAGACTGTGAGCATTCACCTCAGCACCCACAGCTTTCGTCTCACACCCTCTCCTCCTCCTCGTTGGGTAGAATAAGAAGTCATTTCACCAAAAGACTTTATGCATGCACGTTTAAGTATAAAAATTCCATGATACCATATTTCGCACGCACTGTTTTATGTGATCAAAATAGTGTCAGGCAAGAAATAACTGCCTACCTAACTAACTAACTAACTAACTAACCTTCTTTTCACTGGTAAATAGGCGATTGTCTCCATCCTTTTTCCACCACCAAGCTTTACTGTTATTATAATTTTTCTTCTCATGTTTATAATCCTCTCACTATTTTTGTTCTGTTTTGTTTATTTTCTCAAAAGTGTAAACATCATTTAAGCTGTGTAACAATTGTTATTGTTTTGTTTTCCCCACTCGCTATGATGTTATGTGAAGAGAATGTTAGAGATTCAGTATTCGATAACAGGCTAAAATTTCCATACTGTATCGACGATATTGTTTGAAATAAACCCATTATTATTATTATTATTATAGTTATGATTCTCATTTTGTACTGTGCATATTTTTGACTTTATTCCTACTGTCAAAGGTGGCCAAATTCCTGTGGTTAATTTTATTTATTTATATTTTTTTGTAGTAAATTAGATGGAATATTGTGACAAATGCTGAAAATTCCATTCTGTATTATAAGTACTGTTTTTGGAGTCAAGCAGATCGTTATTATTATTATTATTATTATATCTATTAAAGCGAAGTATAGTGAGTACTTCAAAAATGAAATGGAGTGGAAAACTTGGGATTTCTACGCAAATGCTTTGTGCAAATAAGCGCTTCCTTATTATTCTAAAGATAATTCCTCTACGGTTCCCGAATGATACCTGAACAACCACAACCACAAAAGTCGTTTATTTTAATTTGTTTTACCCTCATTTCCCTTGTATGTAGTCGTCGATCCTCTTACTGAAAGCTTAGTAACGTAACCGAGGGCTTTGGAGTGGACTGCACAGCAAGAGAAGAGAGATGAACGATTCACAAAACAGCCAGTCTTCAGTCACTTTGGTGAATACATCTATGCGTTGGTGGCACAGTGGTTAGGACTCTCGCCGACCATGCACATGGTCTGGGGTTCGAGCCCACGCCGGCGCACACCTGATATCTATGGTTGGCCTGCGAAATTTAGGCTACCGATATCCACGCTGAAAATTCCATACCTGTACCAAAAATACAGTGTGGAATCAAGCTGTAATCAAAATAAAATAATAAAATAAAAATGAAATCAGTTCAACTTAGCAACTGATGCTTTCCATCATAACTGGGACGTATTTTTAAGTCATATCAGAGAAAGATAATCCGTTTAATGTGTTTTCATGCATTTCCTTGTGAATATACGTCATTTTTTGTGCAAAAATTCCTCATTTTTTTATGATTGGCAGGCTGAAAGTCACTCGTGCGTTCGCATCCCTTGGGACGCTACTGTTGAACTTTGCCAAGTATTGAATCCAATGTTCTTTTGATATAGTATAGTGAGGGGAAATACAAAATTAACAGTGGTAACATAGCTTAAATGATGTTCACATTTACAAAAAATAAATAAATAAAAACAAAAAATTGAGAGGATTATAAATACAAGAAATACAATAACAATAAAGTCTGGTACTGTAAGGGTGGAAGAAATGGCTTATTTAGTAGTGCAAAGAAGGTTAGTTAGTTCATGCCTGACACTATTTTCATCACATAAAGTATGTGCCAAATATGCTATCGTGGAAGTTTTATAGTTTGACGTACGTGCATAAAGTTTTCTGAAAAGACTTCTTGTTTTACCTGAGGAGACACAAGGTTGGAGCTGCGGTGGATGCTCACAGTCTGACAAAATTCCTTTAGCAAATTTGTTACATGACATCAAGTGCCTATCAGTAACAATGCGAACGATTGTTAAAACTCAACATCTCCTCTTCTTAAAGTTTGTCAACTCTTGGATCTTACCTATTCTTCTCTACAGTTCACCCGAATTCTTTCCTTGATTGCTTAAAACAGACTATGCCATATTTCGTAGAACTCTGAAGACTGTCAATAGGGCGAGTGGTGGTATTCCATCGGGCCAGATCGTTGACATCGTCACTGATAGGCAACTAATTTCATGTAATAAATTCGCCAAAAGGGATTTTGTCAGACTGTGAGCATTCACCTCAGCACCCACAGCTTTCGTCTCACACCCTCTCCTCCTCCTCGTTGGGTAGAATAAGAAGTCATTTCACCAAAAGACTTTATGCATGCACGTTTAAGTATAAAAATTCCATGATACCATATTTCGCACGCACTGTTTTATGTGATCAAAATAGTGTCAGGCAAGAAATAACTGCCTACCTAACTAACTAACTAACTAACTAACCTTCTTTTCACTGGTAAATAGGCGATTGTCTCCATCCTTTTTCCACCACCAAGCTTTACTGTTATTATAATTTTTCTTCTCATGTTTATAATCCTCTCACTATTTTTGTTCTGTTTTGTTTATTTTCTCAAAAGTGTAAACATCATTTAAGCTGTGTAACAATTGTTATTGTTTTGTTTTCCCCACTCGCTATGATGTTATGTGAAGAGAATGTTAGAGATTCAGTATTCGATAACAGGCTAAAATTTCCATACTGTATCGACGATATTGTTTGAAATAAACCCATTATTATTATTATTATTATAGTTATGATTCTCATTTTGTACTGTGCATATTTTTGACTTTATTCCTACTTGGCAACAAAAGGAATATTTCCAAAGATGTGTTAATGCAATTGTTAGTTTTTGACAAACAGATTACGTAATTTTGAAGGCGTTAATCGGTTAGAAACTAACATAAAGTTACAAAAGTAGGTTGGGTGACGTAATCTAATTGGTAGGGTTCAATGAAAAAATGAATGAGAGTCAAGTTAATAATCTGAGTAGAATTCACTTGAAAATGAATGAGGGTTAAGTTAATAAGCTGAGTAGGATTCACTTAAAAATAAACGAAAATCGAGTTATTCCTACTGTCAAAGGTGGCCAAATTCCTGTGGTTAATTTTATTTATTTATATTTTTTTTTAGTAAATTAGATGGAATATTGTGACAAATGCTGAAAATTCCATTCTGTATTATAAGTACTCTTCCTGGAATAAAGCAGCTTATTAATATTATTATTGAAATACTAAGCAAATGGAAAATGACAAAGGATGGAAGGGTTTTAATTAGAATTTACCTATGCAAGGAAGAGAGAGAGACAAAAGTAGAGCAAACTTCTTTTGTGTGTACGCAAAGACTAGGATTGTTCTCTCGAGTCAATTCCCACAACTGCGACTATGTGTTTAACAGGCCCGTTCGAATTCCGCTAGAAAGGTGGATTGTTATAGACAGCCTTGTAGGCACTTCTCCTATTCACTTGGTGGTAACCTCTATCATCGATCAAATGAGACAAAATAGAACATCTTACAGATATTTATATAGCCTTTTCCGAACCATGAAGGAAGATGCTCCCTAATAATGCGTTTGTTGTGCTTTCTCCACAGGAACAGCTAAATTTATAGATACACATAGAGGATGGCATAGCTAGTCAGCTTGTCTTTCACTTGAGCAATCATCTTAATGGTTTTACCTACTTTTTATCACAAGACCTCAAACCTCCTGCATACACTGATCTGATTTCTTATTGATTGAAAGACGAATTATCAACCAACTAGATCATAACTTATACAGTCGTTATCTGTCATATCTCTTTACTAAGTTAATACAGGAATTTATGACTATTTCCAGAGTTGTATTGTGATGAGAACTGTCTGCAAGCCAAAATTGTAGACAACAGTTTACGTCGATGTCCACGTCCCGAATCTGGGTCATGCGAAAAAGTAATAACCAAGCGTAAGCATGACGAACTTACCAACCAATCACAGCATAATTAACGTGTGCAAATACGATTCGCAAATGTATAGCTTAACTTTCTAAGAAACGGCCACAAAGAGATGAGAGAATAACTAACCTTCAGGAATAATAATGTACAAAAAAATCTATAAATATTTCTTGATTTTGTCAATAAACGATCTGTTGCCTGGCCTTTGTCTTCTACCGTTACAGAATTATTATTATCATGAATACGTTATATTAAACGTCATTAATCCGCTTACGACTACCTACTCTATTCTTTATTTTTTTCTGTTTCTTGTTACACAGATTCCTTGATTACGCACACTGAACGGTGCAAGAAAACACCTGTTTGTGTGTGTGTGTGAGAGAGAGACGAATTCAGAAATAACCGTGATATATACTTCACTTAATCTTCCCCCCCCCTCTCCTCAACATTACACAATCAAGTATCTTTTACCCAATTAAAGCAAACAAAACGGCTTCCATACTTGACAAATGAATGATAAAGAGAGAGAGAGCAAATGGAACTAAATGGCGCGTAACAATTGCAATCAATTTAACTATCTTTCTTTCTTTTTGGATTGCTTTGTTTCCTCCTTTGTACACGTCAACATTATCTGTCACATCATCCTTCCTTCCGTCCGTCCTTCAGTCCATCCATCCATCCGTCATGATGTATGAGATGGTTGTGATAATGACAATGTTGATGTTTGTTAATATTTATTGCATTTATTACAGCATTCTACTTTATATTTGTGTAATTTCATTTCCACAGAGAAATGGGCATTTATTAGCAAATTAATGACACCATTCTATACCATTTTGCATTTATATATAACACTATTAGAGTTAATTAATAAAAATAATGTTTTTACCAAATGTGTACATGACTTCAAAGTTTTTTTGTGAAACTATATGTGTATACTACTGATTGATTGATTGATATAAGTAGTAGTTGTATTACCACTCACAACAACAACAACATCATCATCCAAAGTTGCTTTCTAGTTAAGATCGAAGTGTTATATAAACACCAGATCGCTGAGCTCATCAGCAGTTTACCTAGCTGCTTAGAGAGACAAATCTCTTTTTCATCGTAACGAGTTATCTTGTGAGCTACTTGGATGAATTCAAGATTTTCAGTTGAAACAGTTCGAGGTGGTAGACTTTCACCACCACCACGACCACAGTTTCTCTTTTGAAAATTGGAATTATTCAGATCCAGTATATTTATATCCCTACTAGTTGATTTTGAGTAGTATCGAACTACTGATATCCACCATCGTGCAGATGATATAGTCCTTCTAGGTGAAGACGCTGACAAAATAGAGCAGAGTCTTCTGAACACCACCTTGAGCTGCAATCTACAAATGTTTGGCATACTATTCGCTCCTGCCAAATGTAAAATGATGTTACAGGACTGACTGACTGACTAGACTACACTGACTCCTACCCTAGTAATAGGGAGTTAAGTGATAGAGCACGTCAACCGCTTCACTTATTTGGGTTGATCGCTGACGAAATCTCAGTACGGATACAGAGGGCTAGTTTCGCATACACCAGTTTACCCCGTCTCTAGCATTGACGTGATATTCAGCTGGTTATTAACTAAAGGGCGTGTATACTGCTCAGCATCAGTTAGCTCCATCCTCGTTTATAGCTATGAGCGAGACCTGGCCATTGAGAGTGGAAGACATGAAGACGCTGGCCAGCTGTCTTTGATCATAGGTGTCTACGTTCTGTCTGACGTGTGAAGTGGTATAATAGGGTGAGCAATATTAAGCTGGTTAGGCATGGAGTGTTAGATAATTCAACGAGGGCGAATCAATCGATGAGGACGTGAAGCTACATCAACTGAGATGGTTAGGACATGTGTTACGTTGTATCCATAGCCATCGCTTTCCTCGACGGGCAATGTCAGCTGAAATAGGATGGATCAGGTTGGGAAGTAGACAGTGGTGGTCAAACCAAAACGTGGCCTCATCAGTCAGTGAAATCCATAACAGTTTAAACCAGTCACGTTAAGAGGTGTAGACTTCCTGACTGGTAAGGGTCTTCCGGATGGTAAAAGCCAATTGGCTGGTGGAGATGCATCAACTCCTTGTAACTTATGATTTCCAATGAAAATATATTGTTCTTCGTTATTACTATTCCTTTTGTCTTATATCCCAGTTTACTGTCTCTGTTATGCATTTCTTCTCTTGCTTTGTGTGCTACATGGAGTTTGGCGACTTGAACTGCTGCACATCAGTGCAAAATTCTATGTCGAAAACAGACATAAAGCCAGAAATATGTCGTCATTCATTTATGTGCATTTACTTGATTCCCGAGGAGATCACATATTGCGTATAATTTGAATAATTCAAGTTTCCAAACGAAACTGTGGTGCAATTTCACCAAATAAGCAGCCAGAAATAGGGTGATTTGAACGCCATGTGCTCTCTGAGCTGAATTGCCAAACCGGATAGGTACGCCTGCTGATGAGGTTGACACCAGACAAGTGGTGTTTTAAATCACTTTGATCTCGTGGCTGGCTAGCGCATCCTACTGGTTGATATATGAGTGGTATATAACTACTCATCTCAGTGAATGAGTAGTATATAGCGTCATACAATTATGTTAGCTCGCTTGATTGGCATTTATCGTACCAAGTAGATCACATATATTGTGTTCTGAATAATCACTGTATCCGAAGACGGAAACTTGTGATGAAATTTAATGTCGAACTATGTAAATTGTGAATTTTGACTTGTTGTCACCTGTATTATTATTATTTCTTGTAGTTCCTAAAGAAACATAGGACTTCAGCCGCACGTCTTCATTGCTTTCAGTTTTCTGCCAACGTTTCCATCACCTGGCTCCACGTCTGCCCACATGTTTTCATCTCCTCTTCACATAACCTCCTCCATGTTACCCTCGCACTGACAACCAACTGACTCGCCGTTATCCATTCGGGTCCCACTCGAGAAAAAAGCCTGGTGTGTGATGTCACTTGGTGGTTTGTTTTCTCAGAGCATGGCCAATGCACCTCCATTTCTTCCTGCTTATTTGTTGCACAATCAGTTCCTGATGGGTTGGTTCGTTCATTGATAGAGATCCCTGTTGCTGATCTTTGCTGGCCGGTCATCTGATATTGAGAAGTATTGAGCGAAGACAGCTGTTGATGAAGGTCTTTAGTTCATTCGAAGTGCTCTTCGTGACGTGGCGCGGTGCCAAGTCTCTGATCCGTACAGTAGCTCTGACTTCACATTGGAGTTGAAAATCTGGATATTATTTTTCATACTGATTGCTGTTAACCTCCACACAGACTTGATAGTAGTGGAAGCTTGTCTTGCTTTCCTGATCCTCGCTTTGATATCCTCATCGGTTTCATCTGCCTTTATTTGAGAGGATGCCTCCCAGGTAGGTAGGTAGGTAAGGCAGGTTGCTTCTTTCAGATTTTTCCCATTTATGCAGATTGTTGTCTGTTGTTTTTGTTGTCACTGTTGGTGGTGTTGACCAGCAATCTTCATCATCACCTCTGTTTTTTCTATGTTCGTCTGAAGTCCTATCTTGTCTGGATGCCTCTTCTGCCAACTTATTGCTTTTCACTTGCATATCTTCCAGTTTCTGGTAAATGAGACATATATCATTGGAGAAGTTCAGATCCTCCAAGTTTTATGTGTGTTAATTTTATGCCCATCTCCTTGATGCTCGCTGTCTGTCACATTATCCAGTCTACCGCCTGCAAACAGGAAAATCATTGGATATAGTAGGCTGCCAGCCAGCTTGTCTTACTCCCGTCTTTACTTCGAAAGATTCTCGGAGTTTCGCATTGTGGATTACTTGGCATGCAGCATTGTCGTTCAACCGTTAGATGAGGTATATAATTGTTGGCGGCACCCATTGGTACTAGCGAAGTAGTTTCTAATTCACCTCTTTATCGACGCTGTCGAATGCCTTTTCAAAGTCAATGTAGTTGTATTTAGTTGAACATTTTTTATAGCGTGCTAGAGAAGGTGTATTTTGTACTTAATGAGTAAAAATACTACATAAGAAACAAGGCTTAGTAGATTGAAACAGTGATGAAAATCTAAGAAGTGACAGAATGCGTAGAAAAGTGACATCAGTTAAATATTTTGTCAACTTACATCATCCATAGTGTAGACGTGATTGATCAAAATAAGTGTGTACTGTTCAACAGTTTGTTCTATCTTCCATCATGCTTGTGCGACATGGCCATTAGAAATGGGTAACTTGAATAGGTTAGATGTCTCTTACCATAGATGTTTGCGTTTTATCTCCCGTATTAAGTAATAAACCGTTGTGAAGCTACATCGATTGAGATGTCTAGAACATGCGTTATGCTTGCCGAATCATCTCTTTCTTCAACAGGTACATGTTAGCAGACAGGATTAGGTAGGAATAGAATTAGGTGTGGCAAAATCAAAACCTGGCATCAGTTCATGAAGTCCTTGACAGTTGGTTTAGGACACCTGTTTGGAGTTCTCGGGATGTTAAGGACTAGTAGATAGACACTGTTGGAGTTATGGCTCAATGTCATTCTGAATGATGGCGCAGACGCATTCAGTATTTGCGATCATCAATATTCTTATAAAGAAAATTTTAAGACTGTTGCAGAGATCATCGGTGGATTAATAGTGTTTGTGATCTTCCAAAGTGCATAGAGTGACTTATGAAAAAATATCTTTTTGAAGTTTCATGAGTATATATTTCAACAGTAAATTCTATCGTTGGATTTCAACCAAGCCATTCAAGGTCTGAAGACAAAATGTCAGACTTATGACTACCAATAAGTCATCGATGATGGAAGTCGAAAAGAAAAGCATGCGGCAGCTATTCCGATGAAATTAGATCGTGGTGAGAGGTGTCTGTTATCCAAAGTTGGTAGATAGCAATTTACGTCAATGTTAACGTCCCAAATCGTATTCATGAGAAAAAAACAAAGACTAACTCAACAACCAATCACAGCAGACAGCGTGGGTGGATACGGTTAACAGGTATATCAACAGACTGTCTAAAAAACGGCAACAGTGATACGGCAGAATAACCTTCAGCAGGCGTTACCTCTCTGCTAATAATAACGAATAATAAAATATATATAAATCTATAAATATCTGTTGATTTTCTCAATAAAGAGTCTGTTGCCTGGCCCTTGTCTTCTTTCGTTACAAGATCACAAGTCAGGTTCACTGTTTTCAGGGAAAGAAACCATTGGGAACCAAAGATACTTACTTCCTTTCCCTCCTACGTTCACGGGAGGGATTTAGGGAATAACAGACATAGGTGCTTTTTATGTATATGCAGACGAATAGAAGAAAATGGGTGGGAACTAGTTTATTTGATTGACATACGGCAGGTGGTTCCTGTAACAAATAAACAATGTTGTTGTTGTACGTTTCTGTAGCCATATCAGTTAGTCCTAAAGGTCTTAAAGTCTTAAAGGATGTAAGTGTTTCAGACAGGTACTGAGTAGGAACACGTTGCTTAGGTACATAGATGCACAAGCTTCTTTTTATGACCTTGAAGAAAAATAAATGGAAACAATGTTAGCCGGACAAAACACAACCCGCTCACTTTGTTGGTCGTATCTTGTCGATAGGTTGAAATCTGGACTGTTAAAGCATGTTGTCAGTTCAACAGGCAACATTAGGCGTTTCGCATAACCATTTTTGATGTTTGTACAGTCTGGTGAAGCGTTTAGTTAGTAGTAGAATGATGACAGTAATCTACTCAATTACGAAATTATGACCTCTCGGGAAGTAAGTTAGAATGAATGTCTCTGAAAGTTTCTGTGTTATGAAAATGTTCGAATCGTAACCTTAGGTGGACCACTAGCAGGCTTAAGGATACACACTGCTGAAGACCCCCAGACTAAGGTGAAGTACCCGTAGAATTCCCTCTGATCCTGGATGATCCTTCAATTGCATTGGCCTGCAACGAATTACACCCCGCAGAAGATATGCACTTCT